ATCCCACCCCTGGTTTACACCTATTTAGCAGCATACAGATTCAAAGTTTATTTGGTCATTTCCAGCTTGTCCTTCTGAGTTTTTCAGTTTCTAAAGTTTCTGTAGAAACCATAAGGGATAGTTGTGATCATTAGGCAGATTCAGCAGTGATTAGTAACATTAACTTTTAATGGTTGTGAATGCCTGTATATGAACCTGGGCTATATGGGTAAAGTTGGGTTGATATATTAGCTGGGCTATTGCCCAACAGCAGCATTTCACAAACGATGTTCAAATCCCTGAGACTATTAGTATTAAGGGACTAAAACATACATACTTTGAGCAAGGAATTTGAGTTGACATTGAAATTCAAGACAAGGACAACCAGAAGCTTGTTCTGAGTCATTCTACCCCCAAATTATGTTGGTGGAAATACGCATGATGTGGTTGATATAATCTGAACATGAAAAATTGCAATGTCTTATTTTTGCCAATGGTCAGAGCACTTTCTAGTCAAGACAGTAAGGGTGATGAAGCAATTAGGATGGTTTATTCCAGACACTCAATGGAGTCTGAGGATTTTTTGAGAGGACTTGGGGGTTTTCTGGCAGGCTGCTCCATGTCACATTGGTCAATCTCTGAAAAAAGGAGAGGATAAGAGTACTGAACAAGAAGTTTCCGGTTTGTCGGCTTCGCGAGCGGCAGGGATTTGCGAAGCTGCGCGATCCCTGCCGTGCTAGCCGTTTTTGGGGCTCCGACCCAGACGGGTACGGAGCTAGGCTGCCCTGCAGGGGCAGCTGAAGGTAGGGGGGATCCGGAGAAGGGTTTGGGGGTGTTGCAGACCCCCTCCCCGGCCGGCAGAACCCCCTTTTCCCAGGACGGTGCAGCGGCGGTCCGTAATGGCCGCCACAAAGAAGCTGGCAGCCGGGTAAGAATGCGCAGGAGGAAGTGGAGAAAGTGCTTGAGAGGAGAAAGTCTTTCTTGGTTCCTAGGACTCTAAGACATATTTAACAAAATTCCTGAAAAGTATGACTTTCTGAATGATACCTTCGAGAAGAGGAAAAAAGCGGCAGTTTAATGGTGCTGAAAGGATAGCTTACCCTCTTTTTTTACGGAATAAAAAGTGAACATTAAGAAACCTATTTTTTTTAGGTGAAAACTGGCTATAAGCGGTGAGTGGGAAAAGAGAGGACTAAAAAAAAAAAAATTGTATGCTAAGACCTTGTTGGAGAAGATGCCTTAAGGATTAAAAGACTAAAATATATTGCAATAAGATTTTAAGAAACAGATTTGGACTTTCTTTTTCTTTAATTGATACTACCCCAGGAGGAGAGAGTGGGAACTCTGTCTTGGTTTGAACTGACTGAGAACTTTGGGATTGTCTTATTTTTCCTTTGGAATATTCTGGCTGTTGTAAGAGAAAAGAAAAGAAAAGATTTATAATGGCTTTTTCTATCGAGGAACTGAGAAAAGATTATGAGCAAGCAAAACAAAATGGTAAAGCTGGTTTGAAAGAAGCCTTTCTTTTTTTAGAAATGGCGCTTATTAATTATCAACAAACATTGCAACAGATGAAGACAGCAGAAGAAGAACAAAGAGAGGAAGCCATCTTTAATAAATCTCAGAACTCGACCAAGAGGGAAGGAAGAGGAAAAAGAAGAGAAATAAAGGACTTAAGATTTAAAAAAACATTTAAGAAAGGGAAAAACAAGGTGTAAAATCAATATAAGGATGGTAAACAAAAGGGAAGAGGAATACGACAGAGAAGAGAAGCCAGTAAGGCAGAGACTAGAAGAAGGGGGGCTAGAAAGGTTTGTTGGGGGAAGAAAAAAAGGGAAAAGGTGGAGAAAAGCTACAAAGTTTTGAAATTAAATGAGAAAAAAGAAAATTTTTTTAGGGATAAAGGATAAGTATAATTTCTTCAAAGAGATTTTGCAAGGTACATAAGATGATATTGTAGTATTGTATCAGAAATAGAAAATTTAAATGGCTTGAGAGTTGATAAGAGATTAAAATGTTGGAATGTTAATAATGATTGGTTTGAAAATATAATATGAGGGGAGATTTAGAATATTAAACTTTAATTAAAGAGTTTATTAAGATTATGGTATTGATGTTATTATAAAACTTTCATTATAGTATTTTGTTTTTAATATTTAAATCTATTGCTTAACTATGTATTTAATTGTTTTAGATGTATTATTCAGTTAGAATGTACCAAGCAAAATCGGATTGGGTAGTTTAAAGATTAATTTGATTAATTTAGTGGGGAGATAGAAAGGCATCATACTCTGATTAGTGATTTCAGGAGAAATTTCTTTCTTTTTAAAAGGAATGAGACAAAGGTATAATAGAGAATGGACAAAAGATATAAATATAATGACTCAAATTAAGATGATTAATTAAGATAGAATCAAGAAGAGTGAAATATGTGGAGAAGTTAATATAGAAGACTTAGAATGGTAAATAAAATAAGTAATGATATGTAAGATGAGCCTGAATATTATTGAAGTCCATGAAAAGAGAGATACCTGGGTCCAAGTTACTTTCCAAAAAGATCTTTTTTATGTTTTGTGTGTTGTGTGATTATGTTGTTTTTTTGGGGGGGAAATTAATAAAACCTTGTAGAAATATAGAATGAGAATAATGGTAACTAAGTCAGAAAGAAATAGATGAAATAATAATAATAAAATTGAATAAGAGTGAAGAGAAATAAAGGGAAATTGGATAAGAGGTTTTTGTATGTTTATATGGAAATGGTTTAAAACAGAATTATAGTTTATCTGACTTGTTAAATTTATAAGGGAAAAAGGTTTAAACATGTAATGGATAATGATGACTTGTGTGTTTTGAAAATCAATAAAACTTGTTTAAAAAAAAAAAAAAAGAGTATTGAACAAGATAGTTCATATGAAGCCTCTTCTCAGTTTCTGACTGTGAGATCCTTGGATTTGCAAAGCCCAAATTCAAACTTCACTCTTATTTGGTCTTCAGATTCTCACCCACCTGCCCTGTTCAAAACAACTCAGACACTCTTAGAAAAAGACAAACGGGGTACAAAAGGATGGCATAGAGAGGTACAGACACACCTAATTTGATCCTTTTTCTGTGTAAAGGCCCAGTTTTCACCAGCACTATTCCTCACGTGAGGATGCTCAACCAACTATAGCTATATCTAAATTATGCCATGTCCACTCCTCCCCATTTGAGAGGCCCAAGAGGGGCTGCCCAGTGGTATACTGCATTCCACTACAACTGAAAAGGGAGGGATCATGAATTTGCACCCACTATAAGAAGAATCTCATTGGGTAGCCTCCCAGGCTTTAGCTTTGCCTGTCAGTCAGGCTTTTGCCTTATTGAAAGATCAAACTCCATCCTGCCTGTTCATTACCTTAATCCTATTTTCTACATAGCTTTATTATCTGTGGAAGCTTCCTTGGGAAAGGCAGAAAAGGTGACATAGCCACTCCCTATTTGCTTGTAAGAATTGTTATTTCTATGTGCAGTAACCCAGAAAAAGTTCATGGGCAAGGAGGCTGGCTATATGAAGTAAACTGAACACCATATTCCCATAATTTAAATGCAATATTTAGATTAAGCCTTCTTAATGTAAAGAAACAATAATATTATTCTGTAGCACAGAATTATCAATTAATTTTATAAGCATACTGCTCTGCAAAAAGATTTCTGTGTACATAACGTTTTTTTGTGAATCGTTGCACTTACATCTCAGGGAATTAGAAATCTTAAAGCATGTCATGTATTTATTCCTTATATTTAAATGGCAAAAATCCACAATAAGTTACCAAATATGATAGCAATAACCAAATTTAGGTGCATAAGTCACTTCTCGATATAGGTAGGTTCATTTATGCCAATAAAATGGATTATTGGCATTAAATTTATACTAATAATTTAATTGTTCGACAGAAAAGAAAGGGAAGGCAAGCCAACTGTTAGCATTATATCAGAATAGACAAAAAAAGGTCCTGCAGACTCACATTGCCAATAACTAGGGAAATGAGACACAAAGCATAGAAAAGGTTACTATTTTATATTAGGATGGATGGAAGGCTGAGTGAACCTTGACTCCTGTCAGGATCGAACTACAGGCTATGGGCAGAGTTTGCTTGTAATATTGCATTTTAATCACAGCACCACCAGGGCTCCTATAGGGTTCTTCCCCTATTTAGAAAAACTAAATGAGTTCATTAGTTCCTATTCATGCCATTCTTACCTCCCTAAGTCCCAGACTCTCAAAGGTGAATTATGTCCACAGCATGCTGTTCCAGTCACAAATGAACTATTAAAGAAGAAAACAAGGAATATTAGATTTGTATCACTATTAAATATCTGTGCTATAAGTAAATGAATATGCTAAAGACTTGTGAATAAGAGTTTCCATGCCTGACAGTTCAACAAAGAAAGAACAGTACAAATCTCAAGAAGTCCATGTCAAGTCATTTAAGTCAGACAACCATCTCCAATTTGTATAATCCTCCATGCTAGCTGAGTTTATTAGATTAAAGTCCAATATCACCAGAGGGCAGCAGATTAGAGAGAACTGGAATAAGGAATACGGGAAACTATTCTTTTAATACCAATTCTGACACACAGAACAATAATATAGGCAAAATCATAACTGTGCTATAATGATCATATGATATCGATTTCCTAAAACAAGGAAAGCATCTGTCAGCAAACTATTTCAAAATGAATCATCCTAATATCTGCAACATTATTCCATTTTGGACATTCTCCAAGAGGCGAGGAGGAACACCACCACCACCACCACCCCCGTTTCCTGGCCTTTCAGAAATATTTAAAGAACTGGCCCTTTCATGCTGCGTGGGGCTAAAAGAGGAGCATACAGCGATAGAGTTAGTTGATGCCCTGAAGGCCCTCCCCCTGCCTTTTAATTTATATTTAATATCAAATTTTAGCAATCCTTGTCTTCATTTTAAATATTTTATATTCAGTTTTTATGCTTTAACCTTTTTGTTTGTAGCCAGAGTCCTTCTCTGAGGGAGATGTGTGACTGGTAGGGAGAATTACATAGGAATACAGCTGAAGCTTGGATTGGAAAGATTAAATGGAATGTTGCACTTCCTTTAAGCTCTCTAAATATAATCTGCTAATACAATGATCTTCTTTCCTTTTCCAATTAAGAAAACTGACGAACACAATACAGAAGCCTGATGATGGCAGATGAGATTCTGCCAAAACGTTGCTACAACTTTAAAAGCACAACTATAATGACGTGGGAAAATACCCGAACAAAGCTGAATAACATACATACATACATACATACATACATACATACATACATACATATATATATATATATATATATATATATATTTGTATATTTAGTTATATACTGTATATAAATCTATAACATTTCTGACTTTGAAGAAGTACATTAACTACACTTGTATAATTTTTGTTTTTAGTCTTACAATCTGTATGTTTTATTTTTTAAAAAACGTGTATAGTATTGATAATTTAAAGCAAAGATGTATTTCCAAAAGAAATATTTATGAATGAACAGATCTTGATTGGGATTGCACAATTATTGCTCAATGTAATATTAGTACAATTTTCATGCAGAATATACTGAAATTTTTATTACATAAAAAGTATAAATTTTAATGTCAACATCTCCACTACGTTATTGTTTATAAATGTCAAAAAAAGAAGAAAAAGATGAAAGTGCCTCTAAAAATAATACAGGTAGTCTTCTACTTATGGACACTACTGAGCCCCAAATTTCTGTTGTTTAGTAAGAAAGTTATTAAGTGAGTTTTGCCCCATTTTACAACCTTTCTTATCACAGTTGTGAAGCGAATCATTGACATTGTGAAGCCAGTAACACTGTTAAGTGAAACTGGCTTCCCCACTGAATCTGCTAGTCAGAAGGTTGCAAAAAATGATCACATGACCCCAAGACACTGCAACCATCATAAATACACTCCAGTTGCCACCTTCTTAGGGCTGATAAAAAGTGTCTGACTCAAAGTTAGCTCCCTTGTGGATGCGGCAGCCCAAAACTCACTGAATCCAGCGTTCTAGCCTAATGCCTTAATCACTACATCAAAAGGCGAACCATGCCTAATTTCTTTGTAAAAAAGAAGTTTCATTTCCAATTTGATTCCTAAAATTTTCTGAGTAGTGCTGTCAATATTTCTCCAATACTTTGGGTGGGTGGGGGTGCGGGTTATATGTCCCCACATTATGACAGAATATTTCTTCTTGGAGTTTCTTCTTTTCTTTTGTGGAGCTTCCAACATTTATTGCTGCATGATTTATCTATTTTGGCTATTATTGATAGATTCACTAAAACATTTTATACCAGTTCTTTCTCAAAGCATAACTTGGATGGAATTTTATAGAGTTGTTCTTTACTACTGATTTTTACATACAAGTGCCCTTCTCTCTAAACTAAAAAGCGACTATATTACATAGCACTATATGGATCAGAACTGACCATCCATTTTACTGGTAATGTAATGTAGTTAAAGAAGTTAAAAAATTATATTCACAACTATTTATGAAGAAAGTGTGCCTCCTTCTCTCTAAGAGATAAATTCAAAGAAATTCAATTCAAAATGTTTATTAGTCTTGAAATTCTGATAAAATGTAATCCGTTCACACATTAAACCACCCATCCCTAAGTAGCTGCGCTTAGATGTACTGGAGTACAATTCTCATATTCTTGAAAGGCAAACATATTTCTAACATTTATAAGTCTTCCATCACATTTTCAGGACATAAACATATTAACTTTTTGGATTTTGCTTCGTTAAGATCTACATTGAGAATGCCAAGAATCTGAGCTAACAGACTGCTTTTTATGCATCAGCTAGCAGCATATTCTTTTCACCCAAATGTCTAAACACAAGATTTCATTCCATACCTCATGGGCTACCCAAGATAAGTCTTCAGAACATCTGCAAGCTCTTAAATATAGGGCGGCACATCAATTGATCCCCCAAGTCAGCAAGCAGTCTTGTACTCAATGGAGCCCAGAACTAAAAAAAAAAAACCTGAATTTTGTCTCTTTTTGTCTCTTTAGCATAAGCCATTAATAAATGGTAAAGCCAATTACCGTGGTTAGAAACATAATAGCAGCTTGGAAATCACTGAAGTGGGCAATTCAGTTTTTAAGATTTCTGTCTTGCTTTTTCTCTCTCTCCCTTGCTCAACACAGACACACAGGTCTTTCAGAAGAAGGTATGCAACATCCTTCCAGTGGCTGCACAGGTCTAAATTAGCATCAAGGTATGTCAATAGGACTGAAGAGAGGGGTGGAGACCATCAACACTAATCCCCGCTATTCTGCTTGTATAGCCTGTTGTGATTGGGATTAGAAATTTCTTGGTGGGTTGGCTTGCAAATTGCACCACTTCCCGCAAACTACACAGAATCTGAACCACAAATTCTTCCCATTCTAGAAGAATCCGAAAGTCCCCATAATTCAAATAAAAACAATTTCTAATATTGAGGGCAAATATAAGGTCCTATGTTGCATTTCACTTCCACAACTGTAACCTTTGTTGTTAGCACAAAAATTTATTTTTAAAATGTCTGACCTGTAATTACAAAGAAGAAAATGTCATTTGCTCCTCTAACATTATATACTTTGTTTTGTTATGAAGAAGTAAAATTGGGATTAAAAACTTTCAGAATAATAGCAATAGAATTACATGCCCTGGATATATTTAGATCCACATATTCTTTTTACAATTGCTGCATCCTAATTTTCTCCAAATAAATTCTTCATGCAAAGAATGGCATATCTACTATCACTTCATCTAATTCTTCCTAAATATATTGATAATGAAGACGCCAATATCAATATCAATCTATTTCTTCCTGCTCATCTCTTGCAAACTGATTTTGGGAAAATATAAGTATCTCAAATATTTTCATATCTGCTCAATCCTAAATTGGTTTAATTTAATCTTCCATATTAGAAATGCCTCTCAATCTTCATCTATTATTGTTTGAAGTGTTTAAGAAGGAACAACCCATTCCAAACAAATTCCTTCCAGGTACAATAATAATCTTCTAAATTAGAAATATCCCTCAATCTCCATCTATTATTTTATTCGACAAATCTTCCACAACTAACAAGGAAATATGGTTGGGAAAAAGTATTTTTTATCTCCTACAGAAAGTAGACAGAAGATTCTGAGAGAACTTCTAACACTTACATTTTATTCAGCAAGTCTTTCCATTCCACAGTTTCCCTTTAGGGATGGGTAGGGGATAAGCAAAGGAGAATTGTCTCTGTCCCCCTAAGAACAAACAACAAGCAAGGAGAACTTAATGTTGCATTTTCTTCATTTATCTCCCATTTTTCAAAGCTCCTCCCACAGCTTTGGGCATAGGGTGCTACATCTCTCTATTGTAGTAACCCTACCAGTGGCCTTGTTCCCCAAATCAGGATCCCTTTACTTCAGACTCCAAAGAATCAGTAGATTCAGGATGAGCTTGTGCAACTATTGCAAATGAACTTGTTGTAATAGAGATTGGAAACATGAGCATCATTAGCTGATTTCTATAATCTTTCTATGTTTGAATAGCCTTTTCAGTTAATTAGATATTTTACTCTGCGTTTCTTGTGCCAGGAATCCAAACTATAATTCCCTTTTCAATATTTTTCCTCTCCCATCATCGAGCCAGGTATGTGGCAGAAGCGCACATGGGGCAAGAAATTTTAGGAGCATAGATATGAAAGGTAAAATCAGAAAACAATTGTGCCCACCTCATATAAGATGTAGGCAATCTTAATGCTCAGATGTTCTTAACAGTAACTCTGACCACACTACAGAGTTATATAGTGATATAATCCACAACACCGCGGTTATCAGGTTATCTATCTGTGTTTTATTTTACTGTATAGCTTACATGAACATACTGTATATACTCGAGTATAAGCCTAGTTTTTCAGCCCAATTTTTGTGCTGAAAAAATCCCCCTCGGCTTATACTCGAGTCAGATTCCCCTCTGAAAAAAAAAAATGGTGTGGAGTCGTGGCCTCCGGCGGCAGCGACTCCCAACAGCCCTAGCCGGGAAGGGAAAGGCAAAAAGCGCTTTGCCTTTCCCTTCCCGAGGCGGCGGGACTGGGGCCGCGCTGGCGGTAGTGACTCCTGACTCAGGGGGCCTCCGAGGGAGGGGAAGAGAGTGACTCCTGCCTCCCGCTGTCATCATCATCTTCTTCTTTTGGGTTAGTGAATCAATTAAACCTTTCATGATAGTGAGATCGTTTCCCAAATTAATTATTTTTATTTTTGAAAT